CTGAAGGAATGGCCATGCTACAATCCCTTCTCCATTCTCCTCTTGGGATTTTGGGCACACACGCACATGCACCTCCATGAATCTTAAGTCGCCAGGTCTGGGACTTAATGAAGACTGTCCTTTCCCCATTGAAGGGTCTTGACATTCTTTTACACTTAACCACATTTACGTTTTATTTCTAAGTTCTACATGGTACATATTGGCCTTTATGCCAGCATTAGTTTTGATTGCTCTAGCTTTATAGTAAGTTTTGAAATCAGGAAATTTGAGACCTTCAACTTCATTGTTTTAAGACTTTTAGTTATTTGGGGTCCATTGATATTTCATAGTAAATTTTATAACTAATTTTTCTATTTCTGCCAAAAATATCATTGAGACTTTGATAAGGACTACAGATTGAACCTGTAGATCATTAGAGTAGTATTGACAAAATATTAAGTCCATGGAATACAAGGTATCTCCATTTATTTCTTATAGTTTCATTCAGTAACATTTTGTAGTTTTATTGAAGTCTTTTAACCTTCTTAGTTAAGTTCATTCCCAAATATTTCATTTATTTCCCTTCTTATGCTTATTGTAAATGGAATTTATTTTTTTTCTTTAGGATTACTCTTTAAGACAACTAATTTTTTAAAAAATATGTTTATTATCATTATTTTTTAATTTGATCAGCGAGGACAAGAGAGAATGAGAAAGCAAGCCACCAGGTCTAGGACTTGAACCACAGTTGGCCATGTCAGAGTCCAGCACCTTAACCACCAAGCCAACTGCCAGCCCCAAAGCAACTGATTTTTGCATTTTTTTTATGCTGCAACTTTCCTTAATTTCTTTTCTAGTTTTAACAGGGCTTTCACATTTTGTTTTGCATTTTGTAACCTTTAAGGTTTTCTATATACAAGATCATACTGTCTGCAAACGGAAAATTTTATTTCCTTCTTTACAATCTCATATTCCAACTTTTGAGTTTTGCTAACTGAACTGATTGGACCCAAGTACAGTCCATGATCACCAATGAGGCTGAGTATCTTTTTTTTTGGAGAGGTTTTTCGCTATAGGGCATGTGCGCTCGCCAGACAGACAGAGAGAGACAGAAAGACATAGAGACAGAAAGCGAGAAATCACCCTCCAGGGGGGATGGCCACGCAGCAATCCCTTCTCCTCCATTCTCCTCTTGGGATCCTGGGTAAGCACGTACACGTGCCCGGCCTGAGTTTAAGCCACCAGGTCCGGGACACGAACCGTGGTTGACTACGTGGGAGTCCAGTGACATAGCCATTATGCTAACTGCTGGTCTCAAGGCTGAATATCTTTTAATATGGGAACATTAATACCAGCCCCTTAATGTAAAATTCATATATCATGTTAGGATAAAGTCCTAAGCTTCAGGCTTACTCCTTAGAGGATGAAGTTTATCCTAGTAGTTCACAGCTCTACAGTAAACATTTGCACTGGAATTGAAATGCTTTTTTTTTTTTTTGGAGAGGTTTTTGTTATAGGGCGTGTGTGTTCGCCAGAGAGAGAGAGACAGAGAGACAGAAAGTGAGAAACACTCCCTGGGGAATGGCCACGCCGCAATCTCTTCTCCGTCATTCTCCTCTCGGGATCTTGGGCATGCACACACACGCACTCGGCATGAGTTTAAGCCACCGGGTCTGGGATGCAAACCCGTCGACTACGTGGGAGTCCAGTGACATAGCCATTACATTAACTGCTGGTCCTGAAATGCTTTTCATAATGTATTTCATTAGTTCTGAGACTCACCTTTTCACATTTAACATCTGAAAGGTATGCACCCTATGCACGGATCAATGTGTATCATGGTTTTAATTAAGAGGATTTCTGGGACCAGCAGATGGCATGACTACATTGCTAGACTCCCAAGTAGTCAACTGCAGTTGAGTCCTGGACCCGAAAGCTTAAAATTCACACCAGGCATTTACGTGTGTGAGCCCAAGATTCCAAGAATGGAGAAGGGATTGCAGCCTGGTCATACCCCCCGGGGGTGATTTCTCACTTCTGTCCGTCTTTTAATGAGCACACATGCCCTACAGCAAAAATCTCTCTAAAAAAGAGGTTTTTTATTTCTAAAGATTTTAGTATATAAAACGGTGCTGCTTACAATCAATAGCGTGTTGGATCTAATGGAGCTGTCCGTGCCAACGGACACTTTACAATTTACTCTTCTTCAATCTAATACTTCTATGTGGCTCATGTTACTACTATTCTACTGATGAGGAAACTGAGGTTCCGAAATGTTCAACAGTATGTTCAAGAACTACTGTCAAGTAAGTGGCAGGGCCAGAATTGAAAATCAGACCTGATTTCAGAAGTCATGCTCTCACTGTGCTTCAACATCTGCCTCGGGAGATGGGACGCTGAATAAAAGCCTACCCTTGACTGAAATGCTACTCAAGAGGTCTAGTCAAACATGATCTTCCCGAAGCCTTCCCCACACCCCCCGAAAGAACAAATCTTCTCATCTGTGCCCCCGCGGCATTTCTCCATCCTGCTGGGATCTTTATTACGCAGGCACACACACCCAGAATGTTTTTCAAGCCGCTGTGGCCAGGATTTGAACCATGGTTGGCCATGTGGAATCCAGCTCCCTTGACCAGTAGGCTATGGGGCCAGCCGAGTCCGGATCATCTTTTTTTTCTTGAGAGATTTCTGCTAAAGAGCACATGTACTCACGAGAGAGACAGAGTGTGAGAAATCACCCACCAGGGGGTGGCCACACCACAACCCCTTCTTCTCTTCTCCTCTTGAGACTTTGCACATACATAAACATATGCCCAGCATGTTTTAAGCAACCATGTCCAGGACTGGAACTGCAGTTGACTATGTAGGAGTCCAATGATGTAATCAGTATGCCATCTGCTGGTCTACAGATTCTAGAAATCAGTCTATTAATTCCATAATGCCCACCACTATTTTTTTTTTGGAGAGGTTTTTGCTATAGGGCGCGTGCACTTGCCAGACAGAGCCATAAAGACAGATAGCGAGAAATCACCCCCCAGAGGGGATGGTCACGCCGCAATCCCTTCTCCATTCTCCTCTTGGGATCTTGGGCACGAACACACACGCACCCGGCGTGAGTTTTAAGCCACCGGGTCTGGGACGCGAACCGCAGTCGACTACGTGGGAGTCCAGCAACATAGCCATTACGCTAACTGCTGGTTCCCGCCACCACTATTTTTGACACATAGTATCAGTCAGTATCTGTTAAAAGTGAGTGTGGAGGGGTCACAAGGTGGTGTGGTGGTTAAGGGCACTGGACTCCCACATGGCTGACTGCAGTTTGAGTCCCGGACCTGGAGGCTTGCTTTCTCATTTTCCCTTTCTCCCTATCTCTCTCTGGTCAAATTAAAAGAAAGTTAAGTAAAATAATTCTTTTAAAAAAAAAGTGTGTGTGTGTTGGGGGGGATGGCACAGCAGCAGATCATAGGCTGACCCATAGGAAAGTTTATGTCTAGAGACCTCCCTGAGTCTGCAAGCAGCTCAAGTGCCAAAGATTAGGGCTGGCTGAAAGAGGGAGTGGACCGCAGCATGGAAATCCAGTTGAGGGTGCTGTTGCTGTCTCTTTTGCTCATGAAAGAAAAGAAACCAAAAGAAAAAAAGATTTTTTAAAGGACACAGGCATCCTGCTGCAAAATCTAGAAGAGACAAGAAATGCACATAACTGAAAAAAGGTCAGACATGGGCCAGCAGGTGATGTGGAGGTTAAGGAAGCTGGATCCCACATGGCTGGCTGTGCAGACTCCAACAATGCACTGAAAATCACACCGGGTGTGTGTGCACGCATACCCAAAATCCTGGGAGGAGAAGAAGGAGAGGGAATCACAGCATGGCCACCCCCCACAGGAGGTCTCATTTTTTTCTCTCTCTCTGTATCCAGCAACTACACACATCCTACAGCAAAACTAAAAAGGAAAAAATCAAAAACCAATCATAGCACTTTAGGAAAAGTATAAATTATGTGTGGCAGACTTTAAGAATAAAAATCCAGTAATAGAAAGTGTGAGTTAAGAACAGCTCAGGCGACTTTCAGATTTTCATCCACACATACAAAATCAGTCTGAAAAAGCGGAAAACCTCTATCCTGGCTGAACACAAGCTGTTAAGCCATTTTTGACCAACACAGTATTTTAAATTTTAATGAGTTCAGTATTTATAAACTTTTACACAAAAATCGGTATTCCTGAGGCTAGTGGGGAGTGGGGGCGTAATGGTGAGTGTGGCGAACTCCCCGGTTGAGTCCTGACCTAAAGCATGACAAACAAGCCAGTGTATGGGTGCCCCAAACCCAAGAGAATGGAGAGGGGATTGTGGCATGGCCAGAGGGGAGAAGGAGGGCTGATTTCTCCTTTTCTTTCCCTCTCTGCCTCTCTCCAGTGCACATACTCCATGGCAAAAAATCTAATAAACAAAAGAAAATTAGTATTTCCGGGAAAAAAAATCTCCGGAACTGGGCGCTCCTTCTCCTAAATCAGTTGCTTAGATTGGAATATCCAATGCTCCTTTAGCTGTCGACCGTCATGCTCCCTGGGCCATCGCAATTCGTCCCCATCGCTGCCCCAGGAGCAGCTCGCACAAGGTACAGCGCACGTCCACACTGCGGCGGGCCCGCTCCCCGGACACCGCGCTCACTGCGTCCCAGAGGCCGTGCACCGGCCCCCGCCGCGTTCTTGCCGCTTCTCTGCCTGCGAAGCCTCTGATGTCGCCCGCAGCACGC